TAAAGAGGAAGAAATGGGACTATCTTCAGGATCAAATCATCTGGTAATTGACCGAGGTTCGGTTCCTCCATCTTTTTTTTGTTTGGTGGAGTTTTGCTCTCTGTTTTTGAAAACCCTAACTTGAGGGACCCTAGTTAGATGGTGAATAAATTATTTATAATGTACTCAAGGGGGGAAGATATTTCGTAAACAATAAACGTGAATTAACTAATATTACTAGGTCGTGGATTTTTTTCCAAATTAATTTAAAAGGGTGTAATTTCATCAAATATATTTTTGGAAGGATATCTAAATAAATTTTTAAAAAAAATTATTTTTCTTCGATGGACTTTTATTTGTTTAAAAACTATAAGAAATATAAAACAAGTAATATATATTTGGAGGTGACAAGTACATGATTCGGAAATGTTTTAAAAGAATAGGTCTTATCATTTTGTCAAGTAACAGCCAACATACTTTCTGAAACAAAACAAATAGAAAAATTAGATATCCGTAACATACGAAACAAATCATAAATACCTTAAAAAAAATCCAGATATCCGATCCATACTCAGCCCTACAACTACCTTTGGGGAACTGAATCCTCCTGAACACATCCTCTAAACCATACACCATTAATTAAGTAAATATATTACTATTTACTGTACATTTATATTTAGTACATAAGTTAGAAAGGATTGTATATGATCATCTTTTATGTCACTATAGATTCTAAAATTTCTAGTAAAAAATTGGTAGTGTTTGTTTGTAAAAAAATAGGAAAGATGACTTTTATGGGCAAGGTTATTATTAAAATACAATGGTGTTAACAAATTTCAAGTTGACGAAAAAGAAAAAATATATATGTGATATATGTGGATGCCAAGTTCAAAGTGTATTAGTGACAATGAAAGCTAAACTAGACTAAGAACAAAATAGTTAGCAAGGTCAATGTGAATGAGTGACAGTGAAAGCTAAACTAGACTAAGAACAAAATAATTAGCATGGTCAAATTAAAGTGTATGAGTGACAATGAAAGCTAAACTACACTAAGAACAAAATAACTAGCAAGGTCAAAAGTGTACGAGAGAGTATGTGTTTACATGTTTATTTTTCGAAAACAAAGTAGTACCTTTAGTATATTCAATATGTTTAGTTTATTTTGTTCTTGTACAAGGAGAATCTTGAGTTCTTTACATTATTTGAGTAACAATTTTTTATTTACCTCTGAAGATAGAGAACAGAGAGAGAGATGACGGATTGAGGTAAGAGATCCTATGAAGTTCTCAGACAGGCCCAAGTGACCTGGATATTCACCTCGGTCACCTCTGGCATATCTTCAAACACTAGAAGGTTACTGAATGTATCTTTAAAGTCCATTTTCTCCAACAAGGAGCATTTATCACAAACCCATGATTCTTTTCAACGTAGGCACGTTTTCCTTTCGAGTTATCAATAGATAAACTCCTCAGAGAAGGTGCATTGATGTTGAATATCATTACATTGTCATTGTGATCGAAGTAGTCACATTACTACTGAACATTTGGGTTTGATTCACAACCAAATCTTCAAGAACAGGACAGATTCTCAAAAGACTTGCAACAGATTCGTTTTTTCCAGAAACTACACGAAAGAAGGTGCATGATTTTGAGTGACGACAGAAGAAACCTAGGCAGAACAGTCTTGAACAACACGTTCTTTACAACCAAGTATTCAAGATCCGGGCACGATCGTAAGAAACTTTTAAGAGTCTCGAAGCATGAGAACTTGACCGAGAAAAGGTGCAGACTCTTGAGTGATGGCAAACGAAAGCAACAAGGAACAGCCTTGATCTTTACTTCGTGTAGTCTCAATGACTTTATGGTCACGCAAGTACTCAAGCAACTTGGCAAATCTAGGGTTTTTCCAAACGTCTGGATCCTCAGCTTTCTCACTGACCAGTTAACCGCAAGTTTAACCAAAAAGTTGATGTTTGAAGCTGAATAGTCCCGGTTAACCTTGAGATGAAACCTCTCTAGAGTTTGAGACTTGTCAAACAACAAAGATCCGTAAACAAAACTCATGAATCATCAAACGTGAAATCCGGCACCAGTTTCCATGGATCCTCCCAGCGTTTTGTTAAGAGATGTGTTGCAACGCTCTCTTTGAAAAACGGAAGCAATGAGAATATCTTCAAGATCAAATCCTCTGGAAACTCACTAATGCTCGGTTTCTCCATCTTTATTTGTCTGATAGAGTTTAGCTCTCACTTGTGGAAAACCCTAACTTGGGGCAGAAGCGAAGAAGAAACTACGAACCCTAGTCAAATTGTGTTTGGCGATTAAAATAATTTATATAACGTATGAGGGGAAAATATTATCGAAAGCAGTAAAGGCTAATTTCCTAAATCTTACTTTGACGTGGAAAAGATCATAATTTAACTTTTTCGGATCCTATTAATAATGGCTGTAATTTTTTCTGTTGAAAAAAAATCTGTAGACTTTTTGATGTGGCTTTAGATTTTATTACTGTAGATTTTTTGGAATACACTAAAAAGTTACTTCGGATATTTGGTTCTACAGAGCACTTATATAGTTGTAGGTCATTTCAAGAGCTGTGGTTTCAAAAAGAAAAATTAAAGCTTGATTGCTCTAAATTTAGTATCGTAGAAATAAATAAAGCTGTGGACAACACCTACATCAACTACCAATCGTTTTTTCTGTTTTATTGTTTTCATAGGGTGTAATTCATTAATATATTTTTTTAAAAGACTATCTAAAATCATGTATTTGTTTTCTCTCGTTCTTTGCTGGCCATTTATTTTATTTTTAGAAAAAACTAAAGGGAAATTTAAAAATAAGTAAGGATTATATTATATATTTATATGCGTGAATCAGAATTAATTTACATTCCCAAACCTTCAATTTGCAATCTGAATATTCAAGTATTAATTAAAAATTTACTTTGAAATTTGTTATGTGTGTTCATAATGTAAAAAATCTTGATAATTGATATGATCTTTGATAATTGATATCTTTGAGGCTTTATGATAGATTCACTAGAGTGTTTAGATAATCTCTAAATTAATGCTTAAAAGTACACTAGATTAATAAAAAGTTATTATGTGTAAGTAGAATATCTCAAACAAAATCTTTTTAAAATAATGTATTTTTTTTATTTTTCTTTCTTTATAATGAAAACTCACTGAAAAAATAATCTAGTGTAGATATCCCTAAGTGTTTGAATGGAAAGATGAAACACTGGCAGTTCATAGCAAAAGATTGCTTTTATGTTGCCATTCATATTTTTAAAAAAAAAATCAAAAATAATAAGCAAGAAAACTGTACATATGAAATATTTTTCTTCTTTTACTGTAAAAAGAAATTCATCTGCATACAGTTCTGTCCAGTGGCGGAGGTAGAGGGGTCAATTTTAAAATTGACATATATTATATGGGTTATTTAGTTAATATTTACAAGATTAACATATTTTTTACAGAATTATACCTGTAAATTTTTTTTTTTCAAAAATCCACATGGGTCCATATGTCAACACCCTAGCTCCGCCACTGGTTCTGTCCATTCAATTTCTGATGTACATTTGTTCTGTCTTTCTTTTTGGGAAATAAGTGAATTCTCTAAAAAGAATTAATTTTACAACTATTTATTTTAAATATATAACTGAAACACTTACTAGTATTACATTGATAAAAATAAAAATTTCGTGATATGTGCGGCTTCTCCTTATTCTCCATCATAAGGTAATTTGGTTTTATTTTTATTTTTATTATTTATAGAATACATATTAATTAATTATTATAAAATATAATATATTTTATTGAAAAGTGTTTTAAGTTCAGAAAATGGGTGTTGTCGTGCGATGTGTTTTTCTTTTTGTTGTGGTGATGTGTTGTGCTTTATTCATTTTTCTTATTCGTAAGTTAAGAAAAAAAAATATATATATATAAGAGTATATTTATTTAAAAATGATAAATAAATACATCTGAATATGAGTATATTTATTTAAGAAAAAATATTATAGATATTCTTAAGATATTGTTTCTAAATTAATCATTTATAAAATTGATATAATTGTATTATAAACATGGATATTGAAGAAAAAGTAAAACCTTTTCTTATAAATTTAGTTTATCGTATATAAATTTTAGTTGTTCTTATAAATATATTTATAAATATATGTATATAAATTATATTTTCATGATATGTATATAAATATAATTAAAATTACAAAAAATTGTAACCACGTATAATATAATAAAAGTTGTTATAAAATATTCAACATTAAAGATAATATTACAGATTGAATATGGGTAAATCAAAATATTTTAAAATTATTTTATTTTTGTTTAAATATTATATATATTATGTCTTTTGATATTTTTGTATAATTTTATTATTGAAATATATGATTTATAATTTTTAAATTAATTTTGCTATTCATAACATAAAATTACTTATTTTATTTGATTGCATCTCTCATGCATGATTTATTTGATCTGTTGCAACTGCGATAAATGTTTTATTTATGTTGTCGGAAAAAAGCTGTTTGAAGCTGGGAAAATACTTTTTGATATAAAAGAAAGCTAGGAATATATTATTTTGAGGATATATCTACGTTATGTTTGATCCAAAAAAAAGAAAAAAAAATTGCAGTAAAGTCGTCACAAGTGATGGTAACTATATCACTAATAGTTTCCGTCCAATTGACAGAATCAAGAAAATTAATTTAAAAAAGGGCAACGATAATGGTGACGAGGACATGATTCGGATATGTTTAAAAGAATGGGTCTTATCCTCTTGGCTAGTAACCAGCTAGCCATGGGGAATTGAACATTCCTAAACAAATCTTCTAAGCCATATACTATAGTTGGTCGAAATCTTTTTCTATAACTGAAACCCCTTCACATATCTATATATATATGGATGTTTATCCGTAGACATAACTCATGTTTCTGTGTTCTGTCTTTCTATCCTGTTTCAAGAATCCTTATTATTATATTGAGTTTGATCTTCATCTCAAAGATGACTCTTCATTTCAATCTGAATCTGAAGCAAATGGGCAACATGATCTATGAAGATTCAAGGATGGCCGAAGTAGAAGAAAACATTGTTGAAGGAGTTTCAAGATCAATGTTAGAAACTGAAACATTCTCTGATGATGATTTATCATCTTGTTCATTATCTTCCATGTCTTTTTCATCTGATTTAACAGATGATGAAGATTCTTCTTCTTCTTCTTCTTCAAATGGACCTCTTGAAGATCTCTCTGACCTCATGTCACACCTCCCAATCAAGTAAGAAAACATTCTTTGATCATATTAATTTCTTAAACACTTTGGGGTTTTAATACCTAATAATGAATGGATATAAGAATTTTCTCAGCTCTTATCTAACAAAAGTTGTTTCTTATTTTCGCAGGAGAGGATTGTCAAAGTTTTATGAAGGAAAATCTCAATCATTCACATCACTGGCAAATGTTAAAAGCCTTGAAGATCTTATGAAGAGAGGTTATCATAAGAATATAAATTATGGAGCAAAAAGAAAGGCAAGGAGCACTGGAGGAATAATAGATCAAAGCTACAAAAGGCTTTATAACCCTAAAGCTACAATCTCCAAGAAAGCCACAAGAACACCTTATTCTGTCCTCTCTTGTCTAGCCAGAAGAAGACTTTAGAGAGCAGAGAAACATTAGTCTTTCAAAAAAAACTACTTTAGATCTCAGAGAAACATTAGTCTTTCAAAAGTTTTTTAATAAATCAAAATCAGTTTCACAGTAACACAATGCATCCCAAAAAAACATCACCTTAGCTGTGTTAAAAAGTTCAAACTAGACTTGTTTATACAATTTTTGGCATTTTTTGTTGTGTAGTTGTAGTACTTAACAAAGCTATAGTGATTCCTAGAATTGGTGGAAGCACCTTCCTTAAGTAGAAACCTTGACAAGCAAGATTTCATCATCAGCTGACAATTCATCAAACAATATGCATATGCTCAGGCTGAATAAAAACTTGAAAGATAAAACCACCAGAGCGCAGTAAAATCTGTTGTCTGATACTTATAACCACCATCACTCTCTGGTTTAGCTTCTGCCTTCAAGAAAAATAAACTTGAGAACCATTATCTCCTTCAACCAACTTTTTACTCCTCAACTCTGCAATAACTTGAGAGATATAAGGATTGTAAAAGCCTTCTCCCGTTCAATGGCAATCTTATGTTTTAAGTTATATAATAGTGCATCCATTTATCAGTTTTTTTTTACTCGTTTTGGCTTATCATTAGTTGAAAACAGATTCCCCTAGGATTCCTCCAACTTTTATATCTGTTGCACGTTCCGGGTCAGGAAACAGATACTGCTAAACTACAAAACAGACAATGCTTTTGTCATGCTTTGATGATCCTAAATTACAAATGATTCTACCATCTCAGAGTTAATGAGCTTGTTCATAATGTCCTAGAGAAAGTTAAAAACGTAATAGATAAAAATCAGAGGGTTTTTTTTTTTAACTCTGAATCATTTATTCCAATATAGAGTCTATGACCAAACTGGTCGTACTATTGAAGCTACAAGAACCGAGAATCGCTCAAAACTTCTATAACCCACAAAAGAGTTACAAAAACCGCAAGCAAGAGCTAAAGACTCGAGGAGACAAACCAGCCATGACTACTCAAACTCTAAAGTAAATGTCTGAGCTAAAATAAAATGACAAGAAACCATGCCTGTTTGGTATGAAGAGCCCATTCAGTGGCGGAGCCAGGATGGTTTTGTAGTGGGGGCAGAAACAGTTTAATCTCCAAAATTAATGGGTTCATAGTAACAAAACATAATCAATTTACTAGATATTAGCTAAACATTCAGCCAAATAAATTAAAATCTACAAATGAGCTGGGGTCAAGTGACCCCCCTAACCATAGCATAGCTCCGCCCCTGCCATTCACAGTCCAATGGCATATCTTGTTTTGATATGGAGATGGCTCTACTTTGACGGTTACCTATTGCAACCATGCCTGTTTGGTTTTCTCTTGATCGGGTTTTGTTTTCAGTCTCAAATCAGAGGGTTTATCATGTAGTTTTTGATCAGATCAGCATCTACTACACGAAACTCTAATTCCTTGAGGAACAAACCTCTCCAATGCCTTGTCGTTTTCCTGCCCCCATTAAACCCATCGTTTGCATTTGTAATAATCTTTCAAATATTTTCTTCCCTCCTAAGAGCATTTCTAACCCATTCCTTTCATTCTAAAATTAGATTTACAGAAATTTGAAAAAGGGAAAATTCCATATAAATACCCCAACTAAATTCTATTAAGCTTTTTAATACCCAAACTTTTTCACAACCCAGTTTAATACCTCAACTAATTATTCTGCCCATTTTAATACACCAACTTTTATAACTGTATCTATTTTAATACTCAAACTTTATTTATTTTAATTAACAATACTAATAAATTTCAAAAGAAATTTTAAAAAATCTCCAAAATCTAAGAAAAAATATTTAAATTTTCTAAGTTTATTTGAAAATTTAAGAAATAAGGTAAACAAACTCTGTAGAAAATTTAATGTTTTAAAAAAAAGTTTTTGAAGGAAAAAAAAATAATTTACTTTTTATTTCAAAAAAAGAAATTAAATTCAATATATAAAACTTAAAAAACTTATTACAAAACTTAAGATTATAAAAAATTTATTTAATTTCGTTACTCAAACATATGATAAAATTATTATTTTTTGTGAAGTTTAGACATTTTTAAAATTTCATTGGAAACTTATTAGTATTGTTAATTAAAATAAACAAATTTTGAGTATTAAAATGGATACAGTTATAAAAGTTGATGTATTAAAGTGGGCAGGATAATTAGTTGAGGTTTTAAACTGGGTAGTGAAAAAGTTTGGGTATTAAAAAGCTTAATAGAATTTAGTTGGGGTATTTATATGGAATTTCCCCTTTGAAAAACAATTACGGTAATTTCTTTTCTATAGTCACATTTTATTTTCCATTTCATAAAAAACAAAAATAAATCTACTCCATTTAAAAATGCTTAATTTAATTTGCATATCTGGAAAAAAATATCCTCATATTAATAAATAACCATATAAATAAATAATAATATATTCAATTATTATTATATCCAGGTATTCAGATTAATCAGTTTATGTTTGCATCATATATGTGCCTTCTAAGATTTTAACTAAGTAAATTGAAAATACTAACAGAGGAAAAATAACTAATATTAATGTTCTAGAAATCTCTAGGTGGTAACTATGAGTTTTGTAGAGGATTAGTGCCTAAACAATGGAGAAACTAGACGTTAACGAATTATTAATTTATTTTAGATATATTTTAAATTTATATAAAAATTAATTTTTTGGTTTATTATAAAATTATCTTGATGAATTATCAAAATTAGATATAGAAAATAAAGGAAATTAGACAAATTTGTTAACTTTACAAACATTATAACATAATTTAACAGATTTCTATTAATTTAGACCGATTTAAACGGTTTTAGAATAATTTAAATCGATTTAAAATGTTTTAAGTTGATTTGATTAGTCATATGAATTAGAAAAAAAATTATTTCGGTTAGAGGGGATTTGCCGCCTAGATGCCGCTTTAATCGATTTTTTCGAACCATGACTAATATTATTGATTAGGATGAGTAGATCAACAGCAATACATGGATGGAGAGAGACCGAACTCAACATAAATCAACTACAAGAACTCAAAAGAGACACAAAAACAAGACCAGACTTAGACAGCAATTAATTGATTGATTTAATTCAATTAAAGATAAGAGGAAAAAAACACAATACTTCTTAAAAGAGTAATCCAAATGCCAAAACCGCGACGGAGGCAAAGAAAGTAGGGATAAACGAGGAAGCATCCGAGGAGGGACTCGGGGCTGGAGCGTCAACCGCTGCAGCCGACTGTTGAACCGCAGAGAACGCTATCATCGCAACCAAAACCGCCACGAAAAGCTTCATCTTCATTGCCTCCATTATTAGTATTCTTTTTAGTATGAGACTCGGAGAGAGTAAATGGAAAAGGAAAATGGTTTGGGTGTTTATTGTTGTTTTCTTTTGAATTGTGACTTGTGAATTACATTTGATAGTGTTTATATACACGAGTAGACATGTAAAGCCAAGTGTGACAGTGTTTACATGTCACTTTACACCAGCGCGTTGAATAATTTAGTTTCAATGTTTTCAATACTTTATTATATATCCCACTATCAATATTAGTTTAACTGTATAAGAAATGTGTTATGTTGTACTGTCGAATTGCCTTTTGACACGTACAGGTTTTAGTTCATCAACTATGTATATGAAAATAGTTGGAAAGAGCAATGCGCAGTTGCGCACTATTAATTTGTTTGTATAACCACAGAAAATCAAATATCCGATTGTATGATAAAATCTTCAAATAAAAATGTTTTATAAGTGATAACTCTGATAAAAGCTTTTGTAATGACAATCGGTTAATATAAATATGTTATCAATTTAGCTTGTTAGAATTTATAATTTTGTTGTCAAGCAAGGTTATATTTCTATTTCGTTAGTTCTTTTGTTTTTGTGGTTTCAACTTTTTCAATGAATGTTTTCACCTTTCTTCTTTTGCTACTGATCTTTTATATATTTATTTATCCAATTATTTTGATATTTAAAACAATAAGTCCAAAAAAACTATAAAAATTTTATAAACAAAAAGCTCAATGATAATAATCCAAATCAAAAAATCAAAAATACATGATAACTACGTGGTTTGAACCCACGATCTTGCATGCTTAATTGGACATCTTATACCAATTGGTTAAATTGTATTTCAATGTTCATAATCATCTTAGCAAGATTATAAATTTTTTAAAAAAATACATATGGGTCCCACAAAACTGTTGATGTGGCGCTTTGTGGAACCTAGAAACTCTACTATTATAATATAGATTATTAATGTTCTCTCTTTGGTACACTTCATCTGTTTTAGATTTGTCCAAAATATAAATGATCAATAAAATTAATGTGCTTTTCTTTGTATGTGTGTGTGAAATGAGTAGATATGAGAGAAGCAATGAGCTGTTTGATTGTTTCTTATAAGTAAAGAACATTGAGACTTGATGATTTCCATGTGCTCAGGTAACATGATTTGGCCGCCTAACCCACATATTTCTCCAAATTATTGTTTTATTTCATTTCTCTCTTTATTTTTCCCATTAATTTATTTCTGTTGTAACTTTGATATTTGATTCAGTGTATCAATTTTTCGTTGATTAGTTCGGCGTATCAAATATTTAACTCCAACATTATTAAGTAATTATTGGAACTTCACATATTCATCTTCTTTCTTATGTAGGTTTTTATTCCAGACCTCCATAGTAAAAGTAATGTTCTCAATCATCACTCTTATTATTAACCTCAACTAGCTTCAATGCTTGTTGAGATCTTGACCAAAAGCACCACCAAAAATCCATAGGTGGAGACAACTCATGTGGGCTTTGTACTTTTGGTTACCAAACATTTATTGTCGCCTTATACAACTAAATAGTCGATGGCTTCACTTATTTGTAGTATGGGCTGGGTCTATTTACTATATACATCTCTATATTTAGCTTCTGTTTGTGGAAACTAATGTTTTATTCAGTTCATAAGTAAAATCATTACCATTTCCTATTTTAAAATTTGAACTAGATTTTAATCCGCGCTCGAAAGCGCGGAAATTTTTTATGATTAAAAATTTATATAATTGAGTTTTGTCTTAATTTAAAGAATGTTTTGGTATAATATTAGTTTACTAAAATTTGTGGTGATAGTTGTTTTTCATTAGTTTTTAGAGTAGATTTGTTTAAAAACATGTTTCCTAAAAAATAAAAGGTTTAAGAACATGTTTACTAAAATTCCATTTGGCAACACCATCAATGGAGGTTGTTGCCACTTATCCTTTTAAAAACTTCAGGTTTATAAGTCAATACAAACTCATGAACTTTCTGCATAGAAAAGATATTGACCCTATCCCCAGACTTGGCTACTGGCCCAAAAACGAGACTAATCCTATTATGCTGCTATAAGCACAGAGTCAAAGAGCCACATGATATAACCAAACGGATTCAACCAACAGGGGATGATGTGTAACCTTCTTCTTCTTTAGAACCGAAGCATAAAACAAATCGTGAGAGAAGATACACTCCGCATCTAGAACAATGGTATACTGGAGGAGGAGGCCCAAACTCCTGAACTGGGTTCCATTAAACTTCCCTGGAAAAAAGACAAGCAATAACTAATCAGTAGTATACCTCAAAGAGAAGACATTATCAATTAGTCATAGACAATAAAGGTTCAAACTTTACCACCTAAAATGGATTTCACTCCCAAAAAAAAAAACAGATACTAAGTGAGTTAAATGATTTGATAAACGTACCTTGCTTTAATCTTGAGATCACTCTGCTTCAACAAACTGATCTTTACACAAAGAAGAACATTACTTGAGAACTTGATCATCCACAATAGCTTCTAGCCTAAAAGTAAGCGTTACCATAGATCACATCCAAGGATTATACCATGTAACAACATTACATATCCCTTCACTAGTTAACAAAAGACTGATCTACCGAAAGTTGTAGCTAATGCTAACCTCATAATTGCATAATGACTCTCCTAATTAAACACTTCGAAACATCTCTAGATCAAAAAGAACAAAGATTTATACACAAGTAAGAGATGAAAACAAGCTTAAACTACATTTATCACAAAATACTCAAAGATCTCCTCCTTACTACTTTGATTCTAATAAACAAGAACTGAGAAAACTCCAGTCAAGAAGTTCTTTCTATACAATAAGGTAAGAAAAAACACTACAAATCACTCCAAATGAAGATGATAGTAATTCTGGTTATTAACAAAGGAAGAAGAAGACGATGATGATGATGATCTCTCATAATATAAAATCTCAGGGGGTGGAACACATATAAAGTTCCAGAACCATGACACGAATCTTCCCAGTTCTTGAAGCGGGAAACAGCAGACGAGCTGCAACATCTCTCCGCTTCTGATTCGTTCCGACGCAGGAATCCACCGTTGAAATATATCCGCCGAGAAATGGGCTACGGTCATCACCGTGTCTCCTCGGAACACCATCTCTCTCTCTGCACAAAACGAATCTTCGTCTTATCGCAACAAGTTTGTTTTTTTTCTTCTTTTTTGTTTTTTCTTTCAGAATCTAATCTCTTTTGATTTGTCTCTGTGTGTGACGACTCTGTTGTCTTGTCTTAAGTAGAGAAGAAAAGGTTGGAATTTTCCATTTTGACATGATTATGTCCTAAAAAGATTAGATTTTTACCCGTTCGGTTTAAATCCAATTTTTAGAAAATAACCCATTTAATTAAAAAAATGAATATATAGTTAGATTAAAAAATATAAACCGAATTTTTTTTTGTTGATAAAAAGACCCCATTTTAATTAAAAATGAATAGAAATTAGATTAAAAAAATATGAAACCGAATCTAGTAATCGAAGTAGTCTCTTTTTATTATAAAAAGTACCAATTTGGTTGTTAAAAGATAATTTTTTCTATTATAAAAGTCCAAAAATAATTAAAAGTAAGAAAGTTGTAGATACCCAATTGTTGTGAACCAAGTGAACACTCTAGTTAAAGCTTTAACGGTTCACCCTATGTGATTTCGCCACGTTGACTCAGTCGTTATCGTCCATAAGATGTCGGGGTTTCAATGTTTAACACTTTACTAATATTCTAGTCACAATCAATTCACTTTGTTGGACACGATCGTTACAAATTCTTATCATATCTATACTATTAAAAGAGAAGGAGTCTAAATAAATCTACTTAAAAAAGTTGTTTGGACCCATTAGACTAACATTTTTAGTCTTTCCTTATATTTCTCTAACTATATAAATACTTTACAATTTAAATAAACTCATTTATTACTTTCCATAATTTATTATAAAATTTCTCTAACAATAAATATTCATGATATTATAACTATGACACTTTAGTTTAGTTAATTATATGCAATCAATTATTAAATTTTGATATTACATTCTTATAAAAGAACTAAATGATTAATTTTATGATATATAAAAATTAAATGGGTCTAGACATTATAAGTTGGAGATTCAAACGATATTGGTCAAAATTAATTTAAAGAAGATATGTTTATTTATTTTACATGATATATTTTGATTTAATTTTAAATGTAAACTAATCTACTATTTAAATATCAGATAGGTTGAATATTTTTGATAAAAATATTCAGGTAATTCATTGATTTGTCTAATTTGGTTAAAAATAGTATTTTAGGTTATTTAGTGTTTAGATATTATATATAATTAATATTTTTAGGTATATAATTTATATAAAAAATATTTAAATACCTATTTTGGTTTCTCAGTTTGATTTCTATTTTTAGATTCTAGAGATATATGGTATGATCGATTATTTATGAAATTTGGTTTAATTTAATTTCGTTTA